ATGGGATACTAAAATGAGTGAGTGTAATTTCTCCTTCCTCAACATCAGAAGTTTCCTCCTTCTCCCCCCCCCCCCGCCCTCCCAGCCTTCCTCTATACCAGTGGTGGCGAACCTATGGCACAGGTGCCAGAGGCAGCACTCGGAGCGCTCTGTGGGCACACATGCCGTTGCCCCAGCCTTGCCTCCCCCCGCGACCCCCTCCTTTCCAGCAGCCCCCCTGAAGGAGTCGCCCCCGAGCATGGTCCACATGGAACAGTGCAGCCAAGGACATGGCAGCCAGGCAGCGTAGACAAGACTCTGCCCTCACGCCCCATCATGCAGTTGATGCTGCTGGGTGCGGGCAGAAGGTGTGGCCGCCATAGCGCTGCTGGGCTGCCTGGGCGATCTGCGGCGGGCCCTGGAGGCGGTGAGTGGTCCTGGGGGCAGGCGGGGCGGGAGATGGGGGTTCAGAGCGGGGGCGGGGCAGGGGGATGGAGCGAGGGTAGGGCCAGTTTTTGGGCACTCAGTCTCTAAAAGATTCGCCATCACTGCTCTATACCAAAGACTGCAGTAACATAGTGTGATACAAATTTGATAAGACAGGGTAACTTACACAGCAACAGCAAATAAGGACAATGATAAAGGCTTGCAGCACACCAGCTGTACCCACAACCCAAGTAAGACGCAAAAAAAGAATCACTCCAAAGATGTTCTGCAGGCAAGGCAGGTAGACTCCCATGAATGTGCCCATCTGTGGAATCTAGTAGAAGGATAGGCAGAGTGTTAAGACCAAGCTTCCCAACATCTCTATCCAGGAAGTCCTCAACTCACAATAATTCATTTAGTGATCCTTCAAAGTTACAACAGCACTGAAAATAATGACTTATGACCATTTTTACACCACCATTACAGCATCCCTATGGGTCATGTGATCAAAATTCAGACGCTTGGCAACTGGTTCATATTTATGTCAGTTGCAGTGTCCCGGGGTCGCGTGTGATCACCTTTTGCGACCTTCTGACAAGCAAAGCCAGATTCCCTTAACAACTGTGTTACTAATTTAACAACTGCAGTAATTCACTTAACCCCTATGGCAGGAAAGGTCATAAAATGGAGCAAAATTCACTTAACAAATGTCTCGCTTAGCAACAGAAATTTTGGGCTCAGGTGTGATCGTTACGTTGAGGACTACCTATACAATGAAAACTTGTAATTTCTCTATTCTTTGATCCTGTCCACTTCTCAAGAGTCATTAACTGTAATATCCAGGTTAATCTGTTCTCTGAGTTCATGATAGGTGACAGTGTTTTCCTAGATCAGGGGTGTCAAACTCAATTTCATTGAGTTTGACACCCCTGATCTAGGAAAACACTGTCTGCGGCCGCATCAGCATTGCAGTTGCCCTCGGGGGGGGCAGGGGTGTGTGGCCAGGGTGGGTGTGGCCTACTGGGTGGGTGTGGATGGAGTGGGTGTGGTCTATTGGGTGGGCATGGCCAGCTCTACATCGTTCAATTCAAGGGTGCCTGTAGGGAGCTGGGCAGGAGTGGGACAGATCTGAGGGTCTCTGGCAGAAGGGGGTGGGACCGGGGCAAGTGCCAAGGCATGGTCCACTGAAGGAGTCTCACTGCCTGTTGAAACCCCTCCACCGGAGCCCATCAAGCCGGATATGTGAAGTAGGCGAGGGCCATTTGCTGGCCACTTCCAGGCGATGGTGCATTTCTTCATTCCTCACAAAGGGTGACACCTCCCCAGCATGCACCCAGGGGGCGGGGCTGACGCAGCAGGGGCTGGTTCCTCGCTGTTTCCAGACGGCCTTGTGGAGCTAAGACTGAATGCGTTTCAGCATAGATGGCCACCACAAAATTGTACACTGGCTCCCGGCCGGCCTGGGCCAGGGCCAAGGTAGCGGGGGCCGTTCCCTCACTGTTTCCAGGATGGCTTCGCGGGCCACATGAAACCACTTCGCGGGCCGCATCCGGCCCCCGGGCCTTGTGTTTGACATGTCTGTCCTAGATGCTGACTCAATGGAATGAAGGTGGATATCAGTAAGTCAACTGGGCATAATCAGTTTCGAGGTAATGTTTAAGATCTACCGAAGTGAAGCTTCTGAGGAAGCTGAAATTCTCAGAAAGTCTGGAAAGGTCAATAAAGCTCATAAGTGTGAGGCATATAAAACAAAATGAAAAAAAAATGTATCTCTGCCAATTTATTAATCTAATCCTACTTATTTAAGTCTCAAAAATTACATGTAAAAGTCAAGGATTTAGAAATGTTTCTTCCAGAGCATACAAAAACGAATGCTTCTCTAAGAAGGCCAGAGCATATTTTGAGAAAGACAAATGTTTATGGCAGTAGACTTCTCTAATTCAATTCTGTTCTGTTCTGTTCTGTTCTGTTCTATTCTGTTCTATTCTATTCCTATTATTCCTATTCCTATTCTATATGGAGATTGTCAGTCATCCAGGTCATGGTTGTCCCAAAGATGCTTTTTCAAGAGGCAACTGGACTTCCATGTTTTTCTTTGAAGACGTTTCGCTTCTCATCCAAGAAGCTTCTTCAGCTCCAACTGGATGGCGGGGAATGGAAGGATTTATATTTCTTACAGACAACTGGTCATTTGCATTCTTTTAGCAAATCGTTCAAGCTCTTGGAGGCTTATCTGTGTCCTCAGGATCACCTCGCTAACCCTCACTAAAAGAATGCCCCACCATCCAGTCCGAGCTGAAGAATCTTCTTGGATGAGAAATGAAACATCTTCAAAGAAAAACAAGAAAGTCCAGCTGCCTCCTGAAAAAGGACCTTTGGAGGAAAATATTAATTCTATCAATTCTGATCTTAAACACATTTTCTTTTCCTCATTTCAAGATGTCTCCCATAAACCTTCTTGGTGCCATTTCTTACCTTGGTGATTTTTTTCTTGCCTGGAGGGACATTCTCTGCCTCCTCGTGTTCACGAGCTCCCTGCATCAAGTTGGTGTAGTTGGCCATTCGATTGAGCAGAGAAGACACTTTGGGTCGGGTGTCCATCTCCTCCTGCGAAGTGGGACAGAAGACAATAGACATGAGAGCGAGTTTCAATGAAAAGTCCCTTTGAGATGGATGAAGAAAAATAAATAAATGAACGATTGAAAGTAGCAATGAAGGATGGAAGCTAAAAGAAACGAGTGGACTATGAACAAGCTAGTTATTCTATGGGCTTATGTGTTCACAAATCTTTCCTGTTTTGCATCTTCATTGTATCTTCCTCAGACTTTCAGAAAACTCAAAACAACAAGATTGGACTCCCTTTCCAAACTGCTTTTAAAATTAAAATTTAAAAAAGACAGGTGGAAAACTTTCAACATGGAGAATTAAGAGTAACTGCACTTTTTCTACGGACTTGTAAAAGCCCAAAAACTTGAATTAAGATGAAAGCTTTTAGCCATAAATTATATTACAGGGTACAAGGAGGAGAGAATACAGATATGGATTGGTATTGAAAGTATAGGTATTCCCTGACTTACAACAGTTCATTCAGTGACCAAAATTACAACGGCACTGAAAAAAGTGACTGATGATCGTTTTTCACACTTACGACCGTTGCAGCATCCCAGGGTCATGTGATCACCTTTTGTTAACGTTCTGACAAGCCAAGTCAATGGGAAAGCCACTGCAACTGCAGTGATTCACTTAACAACTGTGGCAAGGTTGTAAAATGGGGCAAAATTCACTTAACAAATATCTCACTTAGCAACAGAAATTTGGGGCTCAACTGTGGTTGTAAGTCAAGGACTACCTGTATATGGTGGAAGTGGGAAACAAAAGTGAACCAACGGCAACGAGCAGTGATCTCACCTCAAAGAGTGCCAAATTCTTGTCAAAGAATTCATCGCCTTCTTCATAGTTGATATTGTTAAGAAATGAATGGGAATCCTTCTTGTGTCCAGGATCTGCAATGTGGAAGAGAAAGCATGGCTTAAGAGAAAGACTGGTCCAAATCTGTTTCTCCAGCTCTAGACCATGGAGCTCTATCTCTACAGGAACAATAAATCTTTGCTGCAGGACCATTAAGCACTTGCCTGCTCAGCTGATAAAAAGAAATATCTTCCAGGAACCAATTTCTATTATCCTTAGGGTAGAGATGTGTCATAAAGAACAGGCAGAAATAAGGGGGAGAAAACATAAACTAAATTTGTCAATCTAGACCAGGGGTGTTAAACTGCTGGCCCACGGGCCGGATGCATCATAGCGAAATCGCGCCCACCCCATTGCCAGCAATGGAAAAAAAGTTGCGATACGTCGCGGCATGTCACGTGACATTGCGAGTTTGACACCCCTGATCTAAACAAAGGGAACAGACCACCAAACTCTTGGAAATTCAAACCAAATTCAACCAATCAGGAGCAGGGTTTTCCCCCTTTCTCGGGTGAGCTGTTAAAAGCCCTTTGCTGCTAACAATAATCTGAATTTCCTTCTTTCTTTCCCCATTGTCCTTTTGATGGTAAA